CTATCTGCACCGTGCCTGTGGAGAGGATGGAAGTTAAAAAACAGCAGCTTTCCTCTTTATCTTTGCTCCTTGTCATGGACATTACCTGCCCATTACTCTTAGGCAGTCTTCTTTGTTTCTTATTTAAAAATCCTAGCAATAAAATACAAAGAATGGAACCAAACAACTTATAAGTGGACAATCACCCCAAATCAAATAAGCAGCCAGCACCCAAGGCAATCACTAAAACAGGCTAATACAGTGCCTTGAGCACAGAAAGCTCATTGCTGGGATTAGAAAAAATGCCTTTCCTTACTCCATTAAAGTTCTGTCTCCTCTCCTCTCCCTCTCTTTTTGCCTCACAAAGGGAAATTAAGAGGTGATACGAGATTTTTAAAAAGTTTCTATTTTTATATATGACAATACCTAAGCATTCCAACAGAGCATTATGGAAGTGTTAACACAGTTGTAAGAAGAAAGGTTGGGGAGCAGAAATAAAGAATTCACTAGCAGGTAAGTTCTCCAAGGACAAAGATGAAGGAATTTATTCACTGATATATTTTAAGCTCCTAGCATAGTCCCTGCCATAGGATAAGCTTTCAGAGAATATTTGTTAAATGAATGAATGATAAATAAATTAAAGAAAAAAATGCTATTTTCACATACAAATGAACCTAATCTGGACAATCTGCTGTGATTTTGCTTTTCTGTGTTTGTAAAGAAGTTGATGACCTGATGCCAAATAAATGCATATAAGGAGATACCTTTAAAAAATAAAGAAAAAAGGGAAAGAGTTACTGTCATACAGACGTGAATTCAAATCTCAATTCTATCACTTCAAGTTCTATGATGTTAGTCAACTCACTTACACCCTGTGAGCCTCAGTTTCCTCATTTGTAAAAATGCAGGTTATAAAAACAATGAAAGGAGATTACTGTAAGGATTAAATAATATATATAAATCAATAAGTATAGATATGGTATAGAATAATTTCTTAATATATGGAAGATATTTTTATTATCTGACTAGAGGCCCAGTGCATGAAATCTGTGCACGGGTGCGGTCCCTAGGCCTGACCGGCAATCAAAGTGTGAGCGTCTGGCATGGAAAGGCAGGTCCCAGCTGACCTCTGGGCCCTGGGCAGCACCTGGGCCCCCAGAGCCCCAGCGCACCCCTCTCCGCCTGTGTTATTGGGCCCCTGCCCGGCTCCCTCAGCGCCTGGGAGCTGGGCGGCAGCCCCGCTCCCCGCCCCTGCCACTGGTTGCCGTCTGTAGGGCGATCAGTGGGGCGATCGGCCTGCTTGCACCCGCCTTGGCCTGGAGCCGCCCACTCACCTGCCCCATCATCCCACCGTGGTCCCACTCTCATCAGGGCCTATCGGGGCCGGCAGCACCTCCACTGCCGCCTGCTGCCAGCGCCGCATCGCCAACGCCCACCATGTTCTGCGTTGCCCCCTGGTAGTCAGCACACGTCATGGTGAGTGGTCGCACTCCCGGTCGAACTCCCAGGCGAGGGGACAATTTGCATATTAGACTTTTATTACATAGGATTATCCTCACTCTCCTATTTAAACCATTTATATATAAAAAAGCCTAAGCGACCGTTCGACCATTAGCTATGATGCGCACTGACCACCAGGGGGAAGATGTTCAATGCACAGGCATGGAAACATGGAACAGACTGATGAATCTCAGAGAGAAGGGGGAGCGGGGAGGGCGGGAAGAGATTAACCAAAGATCTTATATACATATTAGAGGCCCAGTGCATGAAATTCGTGCGGGGGTGGGAGGGGGGGAGGGAAGCCCTCAGCCTGGCCTGCACCCTCTCTAATCCAGGACCCTCAGGGGATGTCCAACTGCAGGGACCAGGCCGAAACCGGCAGTCCAACATCCCCCAAGGGGTCCCGGATTGGGAGAGGGCGCAGGCCAGGCCAAGAGACCCCACCAGTGCACAATTCTGTGCACCGGGCCTCTAGTTTGAATATATAATAATAAATGGACCATCAAATGTGTATTGGTCACCTACTGTGTACCCAGTACTTAAACATCAGCAAAGAATTAAAAATTTCTAATTTAGAAGCCTTAATAGTACTAACATTTATTGAGCATTTACTATCTATACCTAACACTCTCCGGGCATCCATTTACTTATATTATTTAAGTCATGAAGCATCTGTTCATGGCAGACACTAAATACAGTAAAATGCAATACTTAAATAATGTTCAGATGTTGGTCATTCATAAATCTCAACACTATGAAGTTAAGAGAGTGAAAGTTTTATTTTATGATTTAGAACAACTTTGCAGAATACTAATTATAATGTGACAGAATACAGAGGATACTCTCAACCATTCAAACTCTTCATGTGACAGATAAAGGATGCTGAAAAGTTTGAATGATTTGTTCAAAACCATATAGCATATACATTTTTAATTTTCCTTGCATGACATCAGATCCTGAGATCAGATTACTCAAGAGATATGAAGCAAATATAACAAAATATTAACTTTTTATTATTATTGAGGTTAGTACAAATAATATTTATAGTGTTTTCCTCTGAGTTTTTCTGTACCTTTAAAATTTTTAATTAAAAAATTGCTTCAGCTGCTTATGTACTTTCATTTTCAAAGCAAATATATTATCAACCTTTATATATACCAGATTTCTAAAAACTCTAAGTCTCAAATTTTTCTTTCTTTTTTAATGACAGCACGGCAAAGCACAAAGTAGTTCAGACAATAAAAGATGCATACAATTCTCTAGAAGTCTTGGCAGTTTTCTCCATAATCAAATTCTTTCCCTAATGAACTACAGTCTGCAAATCTTAAAATAATAGAAGGTTTAAGAACAAAATCAAAACAAGAAAAAAAAGAAATATCTTTCATGCCTCATACTCAGAAAGGCATCTTCATCATAATATACATAATTCCACATTACTTGCTTCAACCCTTGACCCAAAACACAAATATGTACAGTATTTTTCTTTATGTGAGTTCTATATTCAAGGACAGCATGAAGCTCCAAAAGAAGACACACAGTATTTTGAAGTGTACAACTGATTATTTAGAGCCAGTCAAACAAGGTAAACATAGCGTATGCACTTCCAGTACAGCACAACTTCCAAACCCAGGCAATGTTGAGAAGTGAAAGACATTAGGACACAAAATTCAGATAATGATTCAATAAGAGGCCAAGGATTTGGTGTGCAAGAAGGAATGAGAAAGGCAGAAGCTCTTGCTTTGAAACAGAGTCTGTAAGCTAACAAATGCCAGTGCATTAACACTCTTTCTGAATCTGGGTTTCTGGGTTTGGATTTAGCTGTTCATATACAGCTAACACAAGAATTTTGGATAATAAGAGTTAATTGTATTTTCAACTGTGTTAACAAAATTAAAATGAATTGTAATTATTCCTCATTACTTTAGCTTTCAGAAATGGTTATGAGCTACACATTTGTCACCAGAAAAAGACTGCTATCTCCTGCCAAACTCAGCATCAGGGAATGTGTTTAATGGACTGCTTTGATAAAGCCTTGGCACCACACATCCCTCAGATACAAAATGGAACGTTAGGTCTGGCCAAGTGTGAATTTAGTAGACCCCTCAAATGTAAGATGCAATCAATGAGGTTCTCCCCTTTCCCACTGTAAGCTTACACTTCTGGGAATCACCACTTTCTTGGTCCCAGAACTATCATAGTTGGCCAAACTGTCTGTGACCACAAACAACCACAACTTATCAGCCTGTTGTGGTCCCTGTATGGTTTCCACATTAACCCTGAAACTACTTGGGGCACTGATGCTAAATTTGTATAGTACTTCTAACTGTTCAAAACACATGCACACACACTGCCTCACTTCTTCCTTTCAAAATTCCAGTGAATAATATCTAAAATTCATCTCTTCATTACCCCCAGCCTGCTCCTCCCACCATGTTTCCTGTCTCCAGGATGCTACCACTACACAACCTGCTGGTCAAGAGACAAAACCAGAAGTCATCCTTGCCTCCTCCTTCTCCTTGATTACCATCCAATTACCAAATGAAAGTTGGTTCTCCCTCCAAATTGCTGATTATCTCTAGTTCCATCTCGTAAAGTCAGGCTACAATCATCCCTCTGCTTTGGATCACTGCACTGGCCTCTGTGAAATCTGGCCTCAGCTTCTCCAATATACTCCACATTATTGTACTTTCTGCTTAAATTTTTGCTGACACTCCAGTACCATTAGGTAAAGTCCAGACAAATATAATGCCCTTCACCATCTGAACCCTTGACCAATATTCCACCCCATTTCTTCCTTACTAAATCCGTCCCTGACATCCTATATTTTGGCCACACTGAACTCCTTGGAATTTCTTGATTGTGACACATTTTCCATACACCCATGCCTCTTTTTTGCTGCTACTCTGATGGGTATCCTTCAGGACTCCATTTAGAGGTCATTCCTTCCAAGGAGAAAAACACAGTACTCACTGACCTGCATTCCCACCCAAACCAGGCCGGGTTTTAAACCTGTCCTGTACATCCCCAGACACCCCAGAGTTCACTTCCATTAGTCCCTATTGTTTGCCTTACTCATCATTTGCTGCTATCAAACTCAAAGCTAAATGAGAGAAAGAATAATGTCTTATTTATAAGTAAGTATTGCCAGAGCCTAACACCAGTGCTCAATGTATGTTTCTTAGTAGATGCTCAATAAATGCTTCTTGAATCAATAAAAGTATAGATTCTATGTCATTTTACAAATTAGAAAGCTGAGTAATAAAGCAGTTAAAGTCACAAACTAATTCAAAGAACTGAGACCAAAGGCCAAGCCTTGCGAATCCTGGCCCTGTAAGAGACAAGCCACCACATTTTGCTGGTTGGAATGTTAACAACTGGGAGCAAAATCTGAATGACAGTTTCCCCTATGACCCACACAGAATAAGCATTACACTCAGTGGGCCTTCACACAGCTCCATTCTCAGACAGGCGCCCGCCTTTCCAGTAGCCATCAGCCTGATTTCAAAGGCTATATATACTACCTTTTCCCTCTGTCACATGTTGAAGTAACTTCTCAAGTTCAGGAAGTTTCAGCAACAGGATGCAATTCGGAAACATATCATCCACCACAACTTGATCTAGAGGCTGAAACTTTCCCTGAAAAAAAGACTTTAGTCAGTAAGAATGCAAGCACACCAGTCAAAAAATCCATACATTAAAAAAAAAAAGATACATTACCTCATAACTGGACTTTTAAACTAAGTTCAAAGTCAATTTCGGGGATCGGGCCTAAACCAGAAGTCAGACATCCCCCAAGGGGTCCTGGATTGGACAGGGTGCAGGTTGGGCTGAGGGGACCCTTCCCCCATTCACAAATTTTGTGCACTGGGCCTCTAGTCTATATATATACTAAAAGCCTAAGTGACCGTTATGACCGGTCAACTGAATGACCGGTTGCTATGACGCACACTGACCACCAGGGGGTAGACACTCAATGCAGAAGCTGCCCCCTGGTGGACAGTGCACTCCCACAGCCAACCTACCTCCCACGGTCCCTTCCCCCAGACAGCCAGCCGGCCTCAATCAGCCCCGATTGGGACTGGGTGAGACAGCCCTGATGCCTGCCAGGCCGAGGGACCCCACCCATGCATGAATTCGTGCACTGGGCCTCTAGTATATACATAGAAAGGAAATGTAATAAGTAACTTGCTTTGAATACTTGCTTTGGGATAGCTAGAATAAAAAAGTATTTCTTCTGATGCTAAAATAAATCTTATGATTAAAAAAGAATAAGTCAACATTTTAAAAGTGCGTACCAATATTGTTTTTTTACTAAAATAAAAAAAGATCATGTCTAAAATGTAGGGAAGGAAATACCTAAACACCTCATTGGTTACTTTAAAAGGCATTTTTAGTATTTGAGAAAAGAAAGATAGTTTATAATGAAAGCCATAAGCATTTAAACTATATGCAAACATTAGAGTGAAAAAAAACACAACAGATTCTTCTAAGCAGTTTAAATAACACTTATTCCTTAAAATTGTTCGAAGACTTTCAAATTGAGGGTTGGTAGAACCCTGGGAGTCCCCAGTATCCTTTCAGAGGACACATAAGCTCAAAGCTATTTTCATAATATTGCTACGATGCTATCTGTGTTTCCACCGTGTTGACATTTGCACTGAAGATTCCAATGCAAAGGTGGGTAAAACTGCTGGCTCCTCAGCATCCATTGGTTAGGGTGGTGAGAACAAACTATCCTGGTAACCACTAAATTCTTCACTGCCATACACAAGCAGTTAAAAACTGGCCAGTTTCACTTAAGGACATGCTTGATAAAAAGTAGAAGCTTTTATTTAAATCTTGACTCAAGTGCAAATCTTTTAAATACTTGGTGTGATGAAAGTAAAGTTTTGCTAAAATGCTAAGGCTGCCAGTGAAGGTGCAGGACTGTTGCAAGCTGAACTAGCTGCTTTTTTCGTGGATACCATTTTTACCTGAAAAAAACAACAACAAAAAAAACCCGCTACCAACTATGGTGATTCAGATTTGGATATTTGGTAGAACATAAATGAAGTGAACCTGTCACTTCAAGGGAAAGACTGACAGAACTTGTAGCCAATGATAAAATGTTAACTAAAAGCAAAAATTAGAATTGTAGAAAATTTGTATCTGCCATTATGACAGCTTCCCAATACCTAAGTTTTCTGATAAAATCAGTGATGCTATCAACAAAGGTTTATGTGTGCGTGTGTGTAATGAGATGTGTCAACATTTGGAAAATCAGCATACTTCAGTGAAACAATACTTTCCAAAGTTACACATGAGTAAAAGATCCATTCTTAGTGCAAGACAGACCAATAGCTTTTCATGTAACAGAGCATGGAGAGTTACTGACAAGGTTTCAGATTCCACACTGCAACTGACTTTTAAGAAATTATGCCTTGTTGATTTCTAGAAGAGTGCCAAAGAAGAACAGCCACAATTATCTGAAAAGGCTATTATACTATTTGTCCCTTTTCTGACTACATATCTGTGAAAGGCTGCATATTCATCATATACTTCCACCAAAAGAATGTAACAGAATGCAGAAGCAGATATGAGAATCCAGTTGTCTTCTATTAAGCCACACATCAAAGAGACTTGCAAAAATGTAAAATAATGCCACGCTCGTCACTGAATTTTATTGAAACTGAAATTTTGTTTGTTTCATTGAAAACGTGTTATTTATGTTAACATGTACCGGGCTTGTTATTTTTATTTAAAAATAAATTAATAACATTATTTTTTAAATTTCTCAGTTTTAATTTCTAATTTTTTAAATATTAATAGATAAAACCCACAGGAACAAAAAGCTCTTTGGTATCCTTAATAATTTTCAGGAGTGTAAAGGTATCGTAGATCGAAATGTTTCAGAACCTATGGCTGAAATTATTACTATTAATAAACTCTGTCTCAAGGTAAATTTTAAGGTAAATCTGAATTAAGTCTCAACTAGAGTTTCCCCATTAACGAGGTTTTTTACTAGACATGCCCCAGTTTACTTAATTCGCGGTCTCTCACAAATAAGAAAATGAAAAAAGCTATTATCTTCTTTCTTCTCTTAAGACTTGAGATCAATTTCTTAACATTTGTACTATGTTTAAAAACTACTGAGTACTTAATAAAATCTTCCATTGCTAGGTTGTACCAAACAAGTAAGGCACATAGACAGCATTAGAGGGTCAGGCAGTGCTCAGAAATCCCAGGTATACTAGTCCAAGATTGAGGTAGTAGTTCTCAGGTCTTGCTAATCCATACCAGCACACGTGATACACATGTTCTATATCAACCTATCTAAATCTGATTGTGAGGAATCTACATTTTGATCATTAGGAGAGAGAGGAGATCAAGCAAAAAAAAAAATCTATTCTGTTTCCTCACTGTTATTTTCTCAAACTAGGAAACTTACCTCTTTATCAGCCTTTATAAGGTAGTGGAGGAGCAGAAATAGAGGGTCCATGGGTGTGACAAAATGGAGAAGACCTCCTATAGATTAAAAAGAGAACAAAGGAAATTAATGTCTGAAAAGACAATTTAGTCATTTCACCTTTATCCTAAAGTGGAAACGATTTATTGAAAACTGTATGTGAAATTCTAAATATAGAAGCTCTTCTTACACAGGCCCAAGATTCTATGTGTCTCTCAAAAGGTAGAATGTGGTCCATAAAATTTTACTCTAAAGACCTTCAAATTTCTGTGTGTAGATGAGACCAAGACACTGAAATCAATCTTTAACTTTCCATTTCTCTTTCAAAATAACTTTTAACAGAGGTCCTCTCCACTGCCCCCAAAAAGCAAGGGTTGGGGGAAATATGAATAGAATATGAACCATGCAAACATAGGAAACCTATGTAAAGCTGCAGTAAAGCTGCAGTAAACTGTAATTTCCTGTGCTTCTGAGGATAAAGCCATGGGAAAGCAATATTCTCTCTATACAGAGCTTCGGCTCACTGCTCTGCATTGCTAATGACTCAGAGCTCAGAACTCAGAGCTCAGAAGGTTGTAACACACCCCAGACACTACCCCATCCCTTCACCCCCCCCCCCCCCCCCCGCAAAAAAAGGTAAGAGGGCAGGAATCTAACAAGATTGCACACCAGAAACTGGAAACTCCAGTAAGATTAATGGTGCTCTCCAAGCTGAAAGAAAAAGGCAAATCACACAAACTAGCATAATTACTCGTTGCTTGTCTTTCCTCTATCACACTCCTCTCCAAGATTCCCCAACTTCCTCTTCCACAGACATGAATCAGAAGAGGAATTTCATCAAATGGAATAATAAACAATTCATTATCTCCTTACTTATTATTTTGGTTTTAGGAAATACAGGTACTTACTTTTATTCTCTAACAGAGCAATCTAACTATACAGACAAGAAATTCTAACCCTCAATTATATATATGAATCCATTTCATAGTAAGAAAAAATTAAAGAAGTAATTTCATATTATGATATTAGTTGACTATTTTTTTAAAGTAAAAGTTTATAAAAACAACCCATCGGGTTCTCTAAGTTCATTTTATGAGTAGGTTTCTAGATCTAAAACAATATCCTGGTGACTATTCTTAAAAACAGCTCTTTAAGGTTAAATTTATAAAGAAGACAATAATGAAAAAAGCAGGTACTTTTGCTGTGAACCTAAAACTACTAAACAAACAAACAAACAAACAAACAGGTTAACAACTCAGTCTAGGGGAGATGAGCAATATTTTCCAGTTTTACCTGGATATTACTGTGTCTATCTAGCTAGAACCAACTGCAAATATACGTATTACATTAGAAATTAGAACTCTCATATACTACCAAATGAATAGCACAGAAGCAACAACAGAAGGGAATACCTATATTCCAACTACCAGACTATACACAGACTACCACTGCATTTTGGCAACTAAAAACCACTTTAATTCTTCTCATAACCATAGGTATTTGAAATTTATCAGCAGCATGAAACCCTTTTTTGGAATGTCTTAGAAGAAAGGCAAAGTGACCTTTCTACCTTAGCAAGACGTAGCCACATACACAGTCAACAGAAAGCAGCACTCTCTGGAACGATGAGAGAACAGGCAGGGAATGCAAAGTGCCTCAACTATCCCATGACTCCCCACACCACTCCACATCCTCCCTCTCAGAACCATCAAAAAAACATGTGGTATCCTTTTTCCCTCTGAGTCAATACTACTCCAAATTAAAGGAACATTAAAAAAATATATAACTTTGGTGTTGGGTGTGTGTGTGTTTGGGGGGAGAGGTGGCAGTAGTAATTTATATAATAAAGCATTAAAAAAAACTTTGTTAGATTCTATTCTATTTTAGAAGCTATATCAGTATCCATTTTCAAGGAAAGAAGATGTTAAAAACTTGAAAAGCCACAAATGTGGCTAAGAGAAGAGCAAAGAGTTTCTGGTCAAGACAATGTGCACTCCATGGTACAAAGGTCACCTACCTTCTGAAAAGATGTTAGTGTTTTAAATCCGTTGGGTAAAAACTACCTATCATTTAAGATACATAGGTATTAATATAACTTGCTCAAATTATCTTTCCTTTCTCCTTGATTAAACCCTGCTCTGGTGCCAAGGAAGAAAACAACCATTGACCAGACTCTAAAACAGGAGGACAGACTTGTTTGCCTGTGAATGATAAAAAAGCTGAAGTATATTGTTTAGTTAAGGAAAATATATACACTAGTCACTTACCTGATTGAACTGATTGATTTATAAACCAAGAATGGTGTTTTTCCTTGAAAACTTTTATTTCAAACAGCTGTTGTAGACACATATTGAATAAGTAAAGGGCTCCTTCCCCTGTTAAGACAAATGTTTTTTATTTGCACGTTTTCACACAAAAAAAATCAAAAGACTACCCAATTGTTTTGAGGAATGTTCCTAATATAAACATAAACATACATAGACATATATTCTATACAAACTGACTCCAAGGAAAGCTTACACTATTATATACAAATGCTTGTTTTCCAGCCTTATATTTGTGCACTGGGGGGGAAAGGGGGTACCCCAGACTGGCCTGTGCCCTCTCGCAGTCTGGGACCCCTCAGGAGATAACGACCTGCTGGCTTAGGCCTGCTCCTGGATGGCAGAGGGCAGGCCCAATCCCAAAGTGCAGCCCCTAGTCGGGCTCAGAGCAGGGCCAATTGGGAGTTGGGGCACCGCCCCGTCATGCACAGAGCAGGGCGGATCGGGAAGTTGTGATGCCACCCTCAGTCACGCTCAGGGTAGGGCCGATTGGGGGGGTTGGGGCACTGCCCCCTGTCACACACATAGCAGGCTGATCAGGGGATTTGGCGCTGCCCCCTGTCACGCTGATCCCGGTGCCGGGAGCCTCGCTGCTCCGCTGATCCTGGGGCCAGGGGGAAAATTACCCTTTTTATTATAAGAAAAAGGGGTCTGGGGGCATGGGGTGGGGCTGGGTTGGTTTGCCCTGGAAGGGGGTCCTGGAACCAGGGGGGGGGGCCCCAACTGGGGGGGCTTGCCCAGGCTGGGTGGAGGGGCTTAAGGGGCTGTTTTCCTGAAAGCGGAGTAACTGAAGCTCCCAACCGCTCCTTGTTTTCTGTTTGTTTGTTTTTCTAATTCTAGGCCAGCTTTAGCTCTGAGGCCTCGCTGCTGAAAACATTGATACAATGTTGTGGTCTGGCTGGATGAATCCAGGCTGAATGAAAGCCGGTTTCTGGGGTTTTGTTTAGCTTCTTATTTGCAACATAGTACATAGTTGCTTAGAGTTGCAGCTGAGAGGCCGGCAAGTTAGGCGGGGAACGTTGGAATCCTCAGTCACTGGAGCAAGTGAGCCTCCCTGCTAGCTTCAGTGCATGGCTGCCGGCCGCCATCTTGGCTGACAGTTAATTTGCATATACTCACTGATTAGCCAATGAAAAGGGTAGCGGTCGTACGCTAATTACCATGTTTCTCTTTTATTAGTGTGGATGCTTGTTTTCCAGCCTTATAATCCTCACTGAACTTAAACCAATCCTATATAATAAAAGGCTAATATGCAAATCAACCAAATGGCAGAACGACTGGTCACTATGACATGCACTTACCACCAGAGGGCAGATGCTCAACACAGGAGCTGCCCCCTGGTGGTCAGTGTGCTCCCACAGGTAAAGTGCCACTCAGCCAGAAGCCGGCTCACAGCTGGCGAGTGCAACAGCGCTAAGAATGTCCGATTGCTGGCTTAGGCCCGCTCCCCCTGAGGGCTCTCGGACTGTGACAGGGCACAGGCCAGGCTGAGGGACCTCCCCCCGAGTGCAAGAATTTCATGCACTGGGCCTCTAGTAAATAATAAAAGGCAAACTATTTATCTTAAACTGTTAAACAGCCTCTTACTGAATCCTCCATCGGACCAGGAAGGAAAACCCATTCTCAAACTACCCAAATCTAATGGTTCAGCAGATGAACTGAGCTGACACACTGGTCCCAGACTCCAGGGCAGCGTGTGCCTTACCACACACAGGGACCAAGAGAGGGACTGAGCCTGCCGGCCCTGAAGGCCAGCTCTGTGTGAGAAAGGCAGAGGCCCTTTAAATGCATGAATTTTTTTTTCTAAACACAAAGAAATCAAGGACTTTGAATCTATCTCTATCACATGCTGGGCCTGTGCCCTTGGTGAAGTTATATAAACCTTTCTGCACTGCTGTTTCCATATCGGTTAAATGGGAGCAACAGTGAGCCTACCTCACAGGGTTTTTTATAAGGATTAAAAAGGTAATAAATGCGAAGCTCTTAAAACAGTACAGTACTTAGCACAAAATAAATGCTCAACAAGTCATAGCCTTTATTTTTTCCCTAGTCAATGCAACAAATACAAACATAGGTTCAAACTTCTGTTGTCTATGGACATTTAGATAACAAAGAAATTTTACAAGAAGCCTGAAATTTTTGAATCTTTACTTTTGTTAAATGCTTTAGAACTTTTGCTACTACCTAAAACTTCTCTTGAAAAAATTGTTTCTCACCTCAACTTATGCATAATAGAGAGGAAAAGTTATATTCAATTTCATTTTGAGAAGAAAAGAAAACTGGAGGAAGCCAGAAATGTTTTCCTCTCTTGTTGCTTCTATCTTATATTTTTCCAACAACAATAAAAACAGCAAAGTACTACCCACTGGTTTCCCGTTTCTTTTACTTTTATATTCAGTATTATAGTCACTAGGAGAATCCTCTAATTTACTAAGTATCAGGCATCTACTCAAACATAAAATTAACAATAACCTTTTAACGTAAATCTTATAAAATACGTTAATGGAAAAACAATTCCATATAGAGATAAAAAATATGGTAAATTTTACTACATATCTATTATATAGTTTAATATTTTTGCCTAAAGATTAGAAGATAAAACAGAAAATACACTGAATATAAAGTTAAAATAAAATTACTTCTGATAAAATATGTATCTCTATAATATATAATTGTTTTGCTACAAAAAAATCAACCCTTGACAGGAAAAAAAAAAAAAGTACTATTTTCTGGTCAGAACAAAATAAAGAAAGTACAGCTAAAAATGAAACCACTATAATCTTGGCATTTCAGGTAAAAGCCTTTTTCTAACCCCTATATATTTTACTGTATAGGAGCCTAACTACTCTAAGAAAAGCTCAGAGAGAAATCAAATATGCTACCATGTTTTGCCATCATTTCTGATAAACAGGTCTATGGATTAAAATTATAAGGATAAATAAAAAATGTTTAGGTCCAGTGAATCATCTGGAGAAGACTAGTAATGTCAATAGCTTACTTTGGTCACGAGGTAATGCCATTTTACATTGAAAAGCTATTCAGTTAGACAGTGGTTCTCAAACTTCTGGCCCTTTAAATACAGTTCCTCACGTTGTGACCCAACCATAAAATTATTTTCGTTGCTACTTCATAACTGTAATATTGCTACTGTTATGAATCGTATTGTAAATATCTGATATGCAGGATGGTCTTAGGCGACCCCTGTGAAAGGGTCGTTCGATCGCCAAAGGGGTCGGGACCCACAGGTTGAGAACCGCTGAGTTAGAACAAAATACAAAGGCAAATAAGTACATACAATGTTAAAAAGAAAAACATTCAAGTTACTATTAATGGAGGGGAGGGAAAGGGAGCTTACCTGAACATGGGTTAACCAGTTTTACAAACATAAGCCCACTTTTCATCTTCTTGGAAGCATCTTTTAAATATTCTGAAAAGAAATGGTGAGCTTGTTAAATAAGATATTTGCTTTTTGTTCATCTAATTTACTTCACCCTGATTTTGTTTCTTCTATTTACATCATTTTTCTTTCTATTATTTATAACTCAACTAGAGGCCCAGTACATGAAAATTCATGCACTGGAGTGGGGGGGGGGGGCTGCCCCCTCTCACAGTCGGGAGCCCTCAGGGGCGGGAGGTGACCCGGCGATCAGGGGAAGGCGACACCCCATCACACTTCTGCTGCTGTCACTGCCAGCAGCGCAAGCCTCGGCCGGCCCTGGTTACCTGAGCCTCGGGTGGCCCTGGGTGGCTGGGCAGCCACCATCTGAGGCTTGTCTGCACCTCAGGCCGGCCCTGGGTGGCTCAGGGACTGAGGGGACTGGGGGACTCTGGAGGCAGTGGCGCAGAGCGGCTGGGCCCACCTGGGAGCAGGCCCGGCATTGCCGCGCGCCTGCCGCCCAAGTGGGTCTGAGGGGACTGGGCGTGGCAATCAATTAGCATATTCCCTCCTTATTGGCTGTGGGCGCCACCATCTTTGCGATGGCATGAGGGTCAATTAGCATATTCCATCTTTAATAGATAGGATTCTATTGTTTAGGAGCTGTGTGATCTTGAGCAAATTAACAATTTCTCTGAGAAGTGCAGTGGGGTTTTAGGTCATTTTAATTTATTTCTTTGAGAAGTGATGAAGAACAGGACTCTAAGTCAGATGGCCTGAGTTATAACCTTGACTCAACCACTTGCTAACTTTGTTGCTTTGGGCAAGGTTCTTCATGTCCTGTCTCAATTGTCACATTAATAAAATGATAACATATAGACTTGCCTTTGAATGGATTAAATTAAACTAATCTGCTGAAAGCTCTTAACATATTCAAACATAAACACATAATATAGTTATGATAATTATTATTTTAATTATCATTATGAAATAAAACATTTTAAAAATAAATATTTCCTGAACATTTATATTTTTTGCCCCTAATTGTGATTACCTAACCTTGTCCTTTGCCCACTTTTCTTTTGGGGGTATTCATCTTTCTTCTACTACTTTATGAGGAGTCTTTATACAGTAAGAATAGGAATTCTGTTTATGTCATACTTAGAAAGGCCTTCTTGATCTCAAGATTATATTTTCTTTCTTTAACATATCTGGAACATATCTGGGTATACTGGTAAGATATGGGAAGGAGATCCAAATCTAATTTTTTTTTCAATGAGTTATCCAATTATACCAACACCATCTACTGAATGACCCACCATTAAAATAATTCCTTTATGCTAAATGTTTAAAACACATTTATAAGTCTGTCAATGTATATTCTATTTTGATCCATTAATTTGTTTCTATATTAACAGTAGTACTTCAACATTTTAATTATCATAGCTTTAAAATACATTTTAATATCTTGGGAGGCAAGTCCCCTCATTATGTTTCCTCTATAATGTTTCACTGTCAAAGTTTTAATCATATAGTCCTATCTAATAAAGAGGGAATATGCTAATTGACCCTCACGCCATGGCAAAGATGGCAGCGCCCATAGCCAATAAAGAGGGAATATGCTAGTTGACTGCCCTGCCCTCAAAGATGGCAGTGCCTACAGCCAATAAGGAGGGAATATGCTAGTTGACTACGCCACCCTCAAAGATGGCAGCATCCACAGACAATAAGGAGGGAATATGCTAATTGACTGCCATGCCCTCAAAGATGGCAGTACCCACATCCACAAGATGGCCAGCAGGGGAGGACAGTTGTGGGGAATCAGGCCAGCAGGGGAGGGCAGTTAGGGGCAACCAGGCCAGCAGGGGAGGGCAGTTGAGGGCGACCGGGCCGGTAGGGGAGGGCAGTTGAGGGCGACCGGGCCGGCAGGGGAGGGCAGTTGGGGGCGACTGGGCTGGCAGGGGAGGGCAGTTGAGGGCATCCGGGCTGGCAGGGGAGGGCAGCTGGGGGCATCCGGGCCAGCAGGGGAGCAGTTAGGCATCAATACGGCTGGCAGGGGAGCAGTTAGGCGTTGATCAGGCAGGCAGGAGAGTGGTTAGGGGGTGATCAGGCTGGCAGGCAGAAGCGGTCAGGGGCAATCAGGCAGGCAGGCAGGCGAGCGGTTGGGAGCCAGCAGTCCCAGATTGTGAGAGGGATGTCCGATTGCTGGTTTAGGCCTAAACCCTTGTGGGATCGGGCCTAAACCGGCAGTCGGACATCCCCAAGGGGTCCCAGATTGGAGAGGGTGCAGGCTGGGCTGAGGGACACCCCCCGCACAAATTTCATGCACTGGGCCTCTAGTTTAAAACATAAAGACCATGACAACTTTATTTTTAACAGCCTCTACACATTTTGAAGGGCATATTCATAGAGCTAATTTAAAAAATCTCTCTCCAAAAGAAACCAGAGACCTCTGACGATTAAGGGAACAGAACTACCTACCAAAGAGCAAATCAGAAAGCTTTGGGTAAGGAAGGCAACTTATAGTCACTTTTATTCTATGGCCCATTCCCTTCACCCTGTTCAGATCTTCATAAACTTATATAAAGCAAGCATGTTTAGAAATTGGCTTACCCAATAGTTAAAATAGAACATTTTTTCTGAAAATAATAGTGACATTAAATATATTTCTTAAAAAAAAAAACAACACCCAAATTTAGAGATTCCTACTTACAATCAAGTGAAATAATAGGAACCCTCCTCCAACCTGATGCAACAACACCAAAATAAAGACAAAATATACAAAACAACTACTTTCAAGAAGATGGACATTGAGCCATGCAGGATGGTGGTCTCTGAGGGATGGGAAACAAATAAGGCGAGCCCTGTGATTGTCCAAGCTTACTGTCTTGAGAGAGTTTCCAGGCCATGGAGCAGAATAGGAGAACCCAGGTGAAGCCTGGTGGACTCCCTGAGCTGAACAGAGGAAGCTGAGAGTTCTGGAGATACCACGGTTAGAGTTCACAGGTCATCTACAGGAAAGGAAAGAGCTACAAAGAAAGAAAACCCCAGAGGTCTGCAAAGGGTGATCAGTGCATTGCATATAACCACTTGAGGGCTGGGAGAAAAAACAGCTGAACTGATTAGATGGAGTAGTACCTCACATTCACTCAGGGCCTTGAATTGGGCCTATTCCCAGACAGACTGGAAAACCTCATAATTCAGAGAGCATTGGGTAAAGTCTTCAAAAGGGTCTTGCCTCAGTAATATGGAACAAATAACTATAGACTAAAAGCTGCTCTGGTTCCACTGAACTGATTATAAAAGTAAGACCTAAAGAATCAAACTGTTTCAAAGGACCTTCGCTGTGTCCCAGAACAAAGCTCAAGATTATTTATAGGAATACAAAAATATTCATCAGCCAAAAAAGTAAAATTCACAATGTCTGGCATCTAATCAAATATTACTAGGCATTCAAAGAAGCAGCAAAATATGGCCTAAAATGGGAAAAATAGAGAAATCAACGACTGAGAAATGGATATTGATATTAAACACAGATGTTAGAATGAAAAGATAACATTAAATACAAAAAGTTAAGTAGAGCCATAGTCAAAAGAAGCAAGTTGAGATAGGATTAATGGCAGAAGATTAATGAACTTGAAGACATAGCAATAGAAACTATCTAAAATGAAAACATTTATAAAGTAAAAAAAAAAAAAAGAGTATCAGTGAACTGTGGGACACTTCAAGCATTCTAACAATGTATATGTAATTGGAGTTTCTAAAAGACAGGGATGGAGACAGAAAAAATATTTGAAGAAAGTATGGTTGAATATTTTCAAACGTAATGAAAGCTATAAGTAAGCCCACACATCCAAGAAGTTTAATAAACCAAAGAATCAATAGTTCAAAAGTAGTAATAAAGAGGAAATCTTAAAAGCAGAGAGGAAAAAATGACTTTATGTACTGAAGCATAAGGCTAACAATGACAGTAAATTTCTTATTGGAAACAATGCAAGCCAGAAGACAAAAGAAAAACATCTTCAAAGTACTAAAAGAAAACATGATGAACCCAGAGAAAATACCCTTGAAAAATGAAGGTGATAGACTTTTTCAGACATATAAGAACTGAAAGAAATAATCATCAACAGACCCACACTACAAAGAATGTTAAGGGAAGACCTTTTGTAAGAAGAAATATGGCACCAGATGAAAATATGAATCTAAACAAAGGAACACTGGTAATGGTGACTGCAGGGGTAAATAAATAGAATTTTATTATTATTTAAATCTCCAACAAAAATAATAATAACTTAGTGCAGGGTTTATAATAAGTATAAATAAAATGTATGACAACAATAGCATAAAGATCAGGAAGGGAGAAATGAAAGCATGCCATTTTAAGTTTCTTATTCAATATGTAAAGTTGTGTAATATCACTTGAAGGTAGATGTGATTTAAATATGCGTACAATAAACCCTGTAGCAGCCACTAAAACAAAAAATGCTGTCACTAATAAGACAACAAAAGAGATGAAATAGAATCATAAAAAATATGCAATCCAAAAAAAGGTAGAAAGAAGGTTACAGAAGTACAAGGAACCAATGAGAAAAATAGAAAACAACCAGCAAAATGAGACTCAAACCTAACCATGTCAATAAGCCTATTCAATGTAAATTGTCTGTACACCCAATTAAAAGGCAATAATTGTCAGGTTGGATAAAAAAAGTAAGCTAAGCCCTAACCGGTTTGGCTCAGTGGATAGAGCGTTGGCCTGCAGACTGAAGGGTCCCAGGTTCGATTCCAGTCAAGGGCATGTACCTTGGTTGCAGGCACATCCCCAGTAGGGGTTGTGCAGGAAGCAGCTGATCAATGTTTCTCTCTCATCGATGTTTCTAACTCTCTATCCCTCTCCCTTCCTCTCTGTAAAAAAATCAATAAAATATATTTTTTTTAAAAGTAAGCTAAAACTACAGAGTGAGTTGTTAATATGGAAAATAATAATTAATAAAAATAATCTATACTAATAAAAGCCTAGGTGGCAAGCCTAGGTGGCCCTCACGCCCTTGTGC